TTTAACGGTGAACTTACACAGAAAGAGGTATGCAACAGAAAGAGAGTTGTAGACAGTACGGAACCCTGAGGAACTCCGGCCTATCTATCACCCGATGTTCGGAAGAGTAGGTAGCCTTCTAAGTTCACTCGAATCGAACGTTCACTCAAGAATTCCGAAATCCAATTACAAAGGTCAGTGGGAAGCCCATAAGAGGGAAGCTTGCTTAAAAGGCTTGCGTGCCAGACCCTGTCAAAGATTTTAGAAATGTCTAAAGACAGTAGATCGCCCTCGGAATCCGTACTGGCGATCACTGAGGAGATCGTTGTCTTCAAGGTACGACAGGAGACAGTTGTTGACTGCTTGCTGAAAAAGAGGCAAGTTTGGCCCCTATGCGGTGCACATGGTCGAACTTTGCCCTACGTAACACTCTTTTGCACTTCAGAGGACGGTATGTTATACTCCATACCCAAACGCAAAATCTCGACTACAGCATCAGCAGCTCACAGCATCACAGCTCGACAAGTCTCATAAAAAAGAAGAAAAGCTAGTCTGCCAGGGATATGAAGCAAAAAAAAATGGCGCATTTCGTCCCAATCTGCTAACCTGTATCGCCATACCCGTCTCGTACCACTAGGGCCCTGATCGGGTGGGGAGAATGTGGATATAGCTTTCATCAGACAGTGGTCAGAAGTACCCAATGGTGCATCTACAATCACAGAGTATAGATCTGGATCAGCTGTTAGTAGTAGGTCCAAGCAATTTGTCGTATGAGACTGAACATCTGGGATCTTGGTGGCGCCACTGACAAGTTGGGAAAGGCTTAGCGTTAACACAAGTTTACGCGTCTCTCTCCCAGCATGATCGGTCATCTGGTACGGGAACAACCACTATTGATGGTGTGCATTGAAGAATGACTAGTTGCTCATCAGACGTCTCGCTCAGATATTGGAACAGCTTGGTCGTCTCCTGATCTCCACTGTCCGACCGGCCGACACAACAGTACACTATTTGTCTAAATCCCGTATCTACCAGAAGCCACGAAACAGAAAAACTCAGTGCCTCAAGGTTCTTGAGACGTTTGACACAGATGTTATCGCGAATATAACAAATTCAGTACAAGTCTACATCGACAAAAAGACAAAAAGTTGCAGTAATTACATATCTGGGGGTCTACTCCCGTTCTCCGTCCTACATTCGTCCGAAACATTTACTGTCAAATAAGAAAGCAGCTTCGTACTTAACATTGTTTTTTGATTTGGACGAGTAATATTTGACAATAATTGTTTCGAGCTGATATGGGACAGAGAATGGGAATAGACCGCCTGATCATGTATGTATTGATACATACGGCTTGTCATGGAGTCACGCTTATTAACGCGGCATCTAAATAAATAAAAGCTTTAAGTCCATGCAATAACGTTTTAATGTATGCAATAATGTATTTGACGACCTCGGTGGTTCAGCGGTTTACATTGTGGGCAACATGAGAAACAGGACCCATATGAGAAATAAACTTTTTAAATAAACAATAAAAATTTATTATAATTATTGAATAACAAATAATTTCAATAAGTCAATAAATTAGAAATTACATGGTTCAGTGCTCACACTAGTCAAAAAGGCCGGACTGACTATCCCGGCGCAAAGGTCATCACGCTTGCCGCATTTCCTCGCTGTATGGCTGTGGACAATCTTTGCGCCAAGAACAACCCGGTGCGGGAGTCATCTCCACAGTCTCTTAAATTTTTCTAAATTGGTTTTGGTCTGGGTGTTTTGGGATGTGCGCCAGAATAAATTCCGTCGCTCTAGTACTCATAGTACAGGGGATTCCCTACTTTGAGATCAAGCAATTGGTGTGGTTGACGTGCACATCATGGCATTTTAATAAGAGTGAAAAAGACTTTACACGTTTCGTTTCCGCTCCAACCGCCGACGCTTTTTCTGACCGGTTTAATGCGATGCGTCCTCGATAAATGTGGTACTTAACTCACTTAAAGGACATTTCAGCTTCATCATAATGTGAATCGAGGCAAATTATCCATTTTTTTAAACAGATACGAAAATACGATTCGCTTGAAACGGATTCTTTGAAATTTAATTATTTTATTTCATTCTCATAGCCATTGAATACTTTTGTGGCAGAATAAATTAGTTAAAGCTACTTAAACAGGTTTATTGCAATAATTAGCAATTCAAATACCAACTCTTTCAACAGAGAGATCTCAGTAAAGTATTAACATTTTTAATTAAATATAAATAGTCCGTACTTATTCCAACTTTCAGCAGTGCAATTTCATACTTTTATCACTTCCAGTATTTTCTCATTTCAGGAAAGTAATTTACTAAAGGCACGCCGCTTATGCAAATGCTAATCGCGCTGCGAAAAATTAACTGATCTAGTCAACGTGGCTACGGCTTTAGTTAAACTCAGAGTTTCACGTTTTGCGTCTTATTTTACGAGTATGATGTGATACTTCAGTGTGTACCAGTTGCAAATAAAGTCATCACTTAAACAAACTCACAAAGCCAAACTTACCTTTTTTTTACCAAGTAATGGAACGAACAAGTCATGCGCCTGGTGATAAATACACGTATATCCAAAACAGTTGCAGTGCACCTAAAAGCTTCAAATCCATGACGCCTTATGTTATAAGATATAGTAAAGTTGATATGTATTTATATTGCTGAATGACTCCATTATTTATTTGTACATTTCCACTAAGAGTCACTGGATTGTAATCTATAATAATAACCTTCGTTGGGAGCTGCTTTTGTATCGCGGTTCCCAAGCCACCAGTCATCGAACAAAGTGTGATTCAAAAGTAAATAAATAAAAATAATAATAAATAAATATTAGACAACATCACATACGTTGCTCTGATCCCAAGTAAGTACCTAATAAAGCAGTTGTGTTATGGAAATCGGAAACAACGACGGTACCATAAACACAACAGACTCGAGACAAGAAGCTTTTGTCACTATCAGCGTACCTATGAGCTACTTATGCAGTTACTCACTTACTGAGGTCACTGTGGTGGTGTAGTGGCTACGGCATAACAAGGGACACTGGCTCGAATCCTATCAGATTGAAGGAAGTTTTTTTTGTTTTCGATCATTGACTTACAATTATATGAACGTCGGGTCCGCGCTAAAAAGTGTCCGCACTTGTAAGGCGCTAAAATCGTATACAGAGCGCGACACTCCGCTTTAGTCTTCATTTGTTCTACGGACAGCGCGATACTACGATGACATTACAATTTAAATTTCGAATAGGTTGACTTGGGACATTTTTTTCGTGGTTTTTGTATTAGACCCGTCGTCCATTTATTTGTAAGTCAATGTTTTCGATATTTGGATTTATTATTGATCATCGGGTTTTTACAGCTCCCATTGCCACAGCTGACTTTCGCACACACAAACTTATCACACTACAAATATAAGCGATTTAGATCCGACAAAAAATAACTTCATTCTCAATATGGGGAATGAGAAAAATTAAGAACTCGATAAGAATATAATTTTTTTTATAAAAACCTTACCATGACTGCGAGGAATTGGCGAGGAATGAAAATCAATCAGGCTACTCTTGACAATCATGATCACAAAGCCACAAATTCATAATTATTTAAAATTAAAATAAGATTCATATATCTCTATTTCTATGCCTATTGGGAATGAGCTAGGCAGGCAGATAGTACTGAATGTTTACTAATGATATTACATTTCATTTTGCCTTGACCCAGGGGCCTTCCGCTTTCTATCTATAATTATTATATTACTAAAAAAAAACAAATTAATTAAAAGACAAAATACAGTCGAGTTGCTGCAATTATTACTGTTATGGTATGTACTTTGCCTTGCGGAAAGGCAAAGATCTTTAGACTATGCAGCCTAGTCCAGTACATAGATATCGTTGAGCCTAGTCTTTTTTACATTTTTTAAATTTATATGGTAACCTTAGTAATTGTTAGGCTCAACTCACAATAGCGCATAGTCGAAGCATCGCGTCGCGTCCTGTTTTTCAACTACAACGCTTGACTTGAAAGCGTCGTCGCGCGACGACGCACGCATTAGTCCGCCCGAATCACAGTGTGGTCGGCGTCTGACGCCTCACTGTGCTCAAGTGACGCGCGGCGACCTGCGTCGACACGCGAAGCCGCTCGACTTTATCCAAGCGTTGACGCCCGTTTCAACATTTGCTTAACACAAATTTGTACTTTAATGATGCGAATTCAACTCCATAGCCATTCGCCATATAAATTTGGAAACGCTTCGTGAGAATTCGTGGAATATTCACAACATAGGGGTGGAACCCCAGCCTACGTCTGGCCTCCGGATGATGGGAAGGGAAAGCTGAATTAATTCGTGCAATCTCCTTTACTTCTACTGGCCCAATCGAACTTTGATCTGAAGCTGCAACCAGGGCAGTCTGCAAACTAACCCGACTCCCCGATTATTTATATCGTGTTTAGGCTTATTGAATTGCTCTCGACGTGTTATTAGTTAGCAAATGGTGACTTTGCAAGCCAATAACTTTTTTTACACCGAAGCTTTTATTAAATTTTGTTTAAGTTTTGAACACCTTTGCGAAGATTAAGAAATATTTACGGCAATAGAAATAAACTTGATATTTTATTTCCTTAGCTAGCTTCGCTGTTTTTTGAATGAGCTTTTATAAAAAAGGTACTTTAGATTGTATGATTTGGATGTGAAAGTATAGAACGCATTGCCATGTAAAAAACCTTTAAGCGAGGCTAAAACAACTCTTAGAAACTACAAAGAACCGTGACCACTCACGGTATATAAAAAATAAACTGAAACACGTATAACAAGGCACTAAAAATTTAAAACAAGAACCCTTGACTACAAAGGTCTACAATTCTCTCTTGTTCTTCTTCTGACTCGGGCGCTCTTGATACAAGGTGGATGATTTTCGTGCGATAAAGAAAATGTCCCACTAGGGAAATGTCGAAGACAGAAGGCGAATGTGGATTGTAAACAGTTTTTAATATTCTCAGAATCTCACGATTGACATAAGACGACCCTCAGCACTCGACATGCAACAAGGGTCGGATGTCACACGCGAAGTCGCATGGAAAGAGACAGCTATGGTAACAGTGACAAAATTCTCTTTTTATATAGCAATTTTTGAACAAAATTTGACTCTCGTGGAAGATATTGTTCTGACACGGACGTGATACTACGATATATTTGTTACGCTACATTTAGTTATTTTAATCAGAACAATTGACAGCTCTTGATTTTAGTGTAAGTTAAAATTCTTAATCGATTCCACGTTGAATGCAATCAACAAACCTAAACGTGTGCTGAGAGTAGAGATTCCAAAGTCTTTCGACCTAGTATCTCTATTGAAAGCAAGAATAAAACGTTTTTGTACAAAATAGACTTTAATAACATTTTCTATAAACATGCACAATATTGCAGGGTACGAGAATTTTCTCTCGGTGACTGCAATTTTTCTCTATGCCATAAGCATTTCCGGGACATTTGTTAACGAGACATATCTGAGAACATCTCGTCGAAGACCGACTATGTCCTCAAACGTGCAAAATGTTCCTTATTTAAGTTCACGTCGTTTAAATGGTTTTATTGCACAATGTCGAACGATGATGTGAGCGATTATTGGTACAGGTATACGTGTCTGATCTAGCGTGGACATATTGCATATGCAACTAAATGCAGTCATAGCTCAAAGTTGATGTAATTGCGAAAACACAATTTGAAAGTTAATCAAATTACTATATTGTTCTTTACGGGTGGATAATTAATTATTTATGTTTAAATAAAAATAATACCAATATTTGCAATAAGATTCATTCTGGATTCCCGGATGTGATTTCCAGGCCGGAATAAATATTTGTGTGGCCTACATTTATTTGAGTGTTCCGCTAGACGGGGTTTCCCTAGTGATGGGCTATCAGTGTGTGCGTTATTTTATTAATTTGACCATAGTTTAGATAACTCTACGTTTCATAAAATTTATATGTCACGGTCTCTTTGAACGTGGATCGGGTGTTAAGATGAGTGACTAAGATTAGACAAAATTTACACATAATATTGGTTATTTACAAAACTAGAAAGAGTCAAATAAGCAAGTGAAGTATATTATAACGCAAAAGTGAAAAATGTACCAATAAAAAGGACCTACATTTAATTTTCAAATGTATAATAAAAATGTAATAATATTAAAATTAAACATAAATAAGATTTGTAACTATATTTTGTCAAAGGTAAAACTTACAAAAGAAACACGCGCAAAGTTTCAAATCTGCAAAGAGAAATTTTCATTCATATAACTCTATTCCGGCAGCCAGAATCCACCAGAGCCTCATCCATTTTTCAGCAAATGCGCCACTTGCAGGTGAATTTGGCTCTAATCCAAAGATGTTAGTGGAATGAACCATCAACACCCTACGGGTTTAATTCCCATTACATTATACTAATTCATTTGGGATTGTTCGCTGATGCCTTTGGCTCAGTATTGTGCAACGGAATTTTAACTCTTTTTGCTGTTGTTTTGTTGTGTTTCTACTTTTTATTGCACCAAAAGACGCAAAATACACTGCACTTATTAAATTTGTTTTCGCAATTACTAACAGCCACATACATTATGTAATGCATAACGGAAAATCCATAAAAGTAATTTAAAAATTATTAAACCCTGTACTATCTTAACGTGATATAATATTTATGTGTAGCTTCTACGTAGTAGCAGTAGAGCTTCAGAGTTCAGTTACTGCCACCTTACCAATTTCTGACGTCAAGCAGTAATGTGAGCATTATTGCGTTTCCGTTTTGAACGGTAAGGGTGCTGATAAAATTACAGGCACATAAGACTTTTCAACTTACGTCTCAGGGTGACGGCCGCAGTGGCGGTGGTCCTCAGATCTTTGCGATTTAAAGCTCTAGCGACACAGCAATGGTTATGGGTAGGCATGTCGCTTACCACCACATACGATTTGTTCGAATTAGATTCGAAAAAATTCTAAAGATCCATTAGCAAAATACATATATAAAGATCGCTTGTTCTTTGTTTCATAAAATATATAGTAAATAAATAACAGATAATAACAAACAATATAATAACAGACAACAAATAGAGTTAACAATTCTTTCACACTCCAAACGTCAGTGACTCGACTACGAAATGAAAGACAAACACTATCGGATTGAACAAAGTTACTTTGAAAATTCAATATTGTCGAATTCCATTCTATCGACTGCTGGCATATGATGTTGTAAGTTTGTAAACATGGCACTGGGCGATTACATTTGATTCGGATTAAAGTCAGTAAAGTATATGAAAGTTTAGTACATTTATTTCAATCATTATTTAGCAGCAGTAGAGCTCCTTGTGAACGAGTTCGTCTTGGGAAGTACTGCCACCTTACCTATTTCTGCCGCCAATGGTAAGGGTGCTGGTGAAGTTACAGACACATGGGACTTGTCTCAGGATAATGGGCGCAATGGCAGTGCCAGTCAGAGCATTAAATCGCAAAGATCTGATATTTGCGATTTAAAGGTCTCAATGGCACTGCAACTCTCATTGACAGGCGTGTCTCTTACCACTAGATGCACGACTTGTTGAATAATTACAAAAATTAGTAAATATTAAGTAGGTATATCCGTTAAAACAATTCAGTGCAAAAAAGGTAATTATTTATTTCAATATAAGTAATAAAAAATCTTATTGCCACATGACGAGATTTAAATGCTTACACAAGTAGATAATTGGTTAGAAAGACGTCATACATGATGGATACAACAAATGCAAGGTGACAAATAATATGTAGATTATAGAAAGACAAAAAGAAAGAACTTTAGCATACAAATCCAACGCCTGTTGAGAAATATATACAATAACATACAGACCAAATTACATCTTCAGGTGAAGTGTACCGCCCCGTAACCTGTCTTATTATCTAAAAATAATATATCAGTCAATGTTCTCTTCAAACGACTTTTGTACGTAATGTATGGTATTGTGTGTTAACCGTATGTAAAAGACTTAAAATAGATTCGGTATGTGTTAAATTTGCATATTGAACCAACCTTGTGTGTTAAAGTTAATATGCGACATTCTGAGAATTTCAAAACAGTAAAAACAGATGTATAATAAATACATATGACGTACATGTGAAAACAAATTCATGATACAGACAGACAGACAGTAGAACATAATAAGTCCTTGTGAAAGAGTTCGTCCAGGGTAGTACTGCCACCTTACCTATTTCTGCCGCCAAGCAGTAATGTCACCATTACTGTGTTCCTGTTTTGAAGGGTAACCATTCTTACCATCAGGCGCACGACTTGTTCATCCCATCACTTGATATTATATAAAAAAATATATATTTTAAAAACGTTTACAACCCTAGCAATGGTCGAAATCACAAAACTCTACGTGTACCAGTAAGTACAAGAACTTTGATTAGTCTGCGAAATTATTATTTTGATTATATACAGGTAAGGTAAAAAAGACTTCGCATTCTACAACCTATCAAAAGTATTTAATCAATTATTAACTAATTATGTAACTTAAACATTTATAAAATGAGACACACGGTACACGTTAAAAAAGGAAACTGTTTTTTAATCTCTAAGTTCTCAATTCGACTGAATTGTTTTTGTATATGTTACGCGATTACGCCGATATTTGTGTTGGAAAGCGGGTACTTTAGTAGAGGTTGAATTAAAATATTCCACTGCTAATGGTGACAAGTCAGGGGACGAATCCTGTCTATTGGATTTCAGTCACTTTCCGCTAACCGATTTAATTTTAATCTAAAATCCCTTGTATTTGTTTTTTCAAATATACCAATATTTCAGGCTACTTGCAGATTCCATGATCAATCAGCAGTGACTCGAAGACCTACGAAATGTGGCTTTGTTTGAAAAAACAAATGCATACGATTTTAAGCTCCGCTTAAATAGTTTCATAACAATGAGAAGGTTACTTTTGATTCTTTGCATTGAAAGAGAAAGAAAATTTAGAATTAAAAAGAATATTAGAAGAAAATTTAGTTTAAGCACTTGGAAAATATTATATATATTCCAAATACAAAGCTCATAAATATCAACAGAGGTATTGGTATATTTTGGAGAAGTATAACATTCGAGCATGAGCTGCAGCAATATTGGAGTGCTCGAGTGACTGCCATCCATAAATGCACGAGGTGTTACGTGTAAACTCAGTATGAACGGCACACGCTAGCGTGCCATATCGAACGACATGTTCCCACTTTCCGATACATTTATGTAGAAAAAAGTAGTAAGCCTGCCCAGCCTACGTACTTCAACTCTAGTACTTTTATATTTCTCACCAAAAACGGCTTACCATGCTTAGAGCTCTAGGTACTTAAAGGGTAATAAAAGTTTAGATTGTTTAAAAGTAATCAAAAAAGATCTGCGAACTGATGGTTTGTACAAATAAAAAAATCTAGGATTTAAGAGAGTTAAGTGACTGCGTTTTGCGGTCAACAATGTGTCTACTTATGACTCAGTTTAGCCTGACACATTTAACTTAAAAAATAAGGAAATCTAAGGAACTAAAAGGAAAGAATAAAAAAAGAAAGGGAAAAATAAAATAAGGAACTGGTATCATCACAGGACATCTGATGAACTAAATTGATTTTTTTTTGAATTTTTTGTTATCGCTATACTTTTCTTTAGGTACTCCTACTCACATTGTTCATTTTCTTTTTTATATTAATATCGAACTCCAATATTGAACAATTATGTTACTGTGTTTTTGTTTATTAAAAAAGCATCTTGGTATAACCTGCTGCATATTTCAGAATAACAAAACAAAAGAATATTTGGGAACAATCTCAACGAAGTGTGTTTTCTGAAATGAAAATTGATCTTCTGCTTTTTCTGTCGAAAGAAGCGTAGCTTTAAAGTTAGATGCACTTGCAAAAGCACTCTGTTGATGTTTTTAAATCTTTTACCAGCATAGTGCCGGTAAGAAGTGGTTGTTAATCTCGAGCAGATTAAGAAGTTCCAGGTAGCGGAGTGAGTTGGGGTGCAGTAGACCGACAAAACTTGCGGAATAAAATCAT